AAAGGAAGAGAATTATAGAAAAGTGAGGGGATGAAAATGTATTGTTGATATACATACTTCATGCTTGTTGATGAACAGCTCAAACCGTTCGGTCAAGACTGGTTTGGACCTATGCCATTTTGCCAGTGGACTCATGATCTCAGGATGGTTGATAATGAATGTAGGGTTCACACACGTCTCCTCAAGAAAGTGGCCAACAAGCTAATATACAAAGCAAACGTGACAGCTTATTAAAAAATATAAATAAATAAAAATAACAATAAAAATAAGAGAGAAAGGTATTGTACTTTGTCCAAGAGCCTAGCAGTAGTTTGAGGAGGGGGGCATTTGACCTCGAACCTTGCACATGCATCCACCAGATATTTATTGGCTACCTCACTTGACAAGTCCTTAGGTATGTTCAAATTAGCCACCTTCTCTAACTCATCTATCATATCAATCCGCCTGACAAGTAAAAGCAAGGACTTTAAATTGTTGTATTATCCAGTTCACATAATTCAAGAGCCAATATGAATAGTGTGCGAGCTCAAATACCTGAAAGGAGGAGTGAAGTCGATCTCGATGGGATCATTGTCATACCCATTTGCGTGATACTTTATTATATAACCACCCGTAAGTTCCATGACCATCCCTAATAATGCAGAATATGTCAATAGTATTTTTATGCTAATACTATGGCTAAGGATAATTACAAAAATCCCAATTGAAGTTTTAGCTGATCACCAAGCAATCCCGAGGTACTAAATATATGAAATTCCAAATGACTAGATTTCACCATTTGTCATTTCTCCCCACTATATGAAAGAAAAATAAATAACAAAACCCCAAACATAAACAGAAAATCAAATTTCATTGGAGGGGGTTTGCAATTTCTAAAAACCTATATGTTTTCTTGTAATTAGGTGGAACTCGGGGGTTGTTTGTGAATAGCCCTACTTTTTTACTGGATTTTCCACTTACCACTGAGCATATCTTCAGTTAGCTTCATCAGGTCATTGTAGTCGGCAAAAGCCATGTAGAACTCACAAGTCGTGAACTCGGGATTATGTGTTAGGTCAATCCCTTCATTCCTAAACTGCTTCCCAATTTCGTACACACGGTCTAAGCCACCAACTACAAGTTCCTTGAGATACAGTTCAGGTGCAATGCGCATGAAAAGCCTCATATTGAGGTCATTGTGGTGGGTTACAAATGGACGAGCAGCAGCTCCACCGGCAATCATGTTCATCATTGGAGTTTCAACCTTCGGAACATAAAATAACATGAATAAAAAAAATTGAGGGCAAGGCAAGCAAGTGCTAGTAACAAAAAACTAGTCCCCCCATGAAAAATTCCTGTGAAGTGACGTAAAAATGAACAGAACAATAAAACAGCTAATGTATTATATAACACTTACCTCAAGAAAGTCTAATTCATCAAGGTATCGTCTGATGAACGAAATAATTTTTGCCCTGGTTTTGAAAATTTCACGAACCTCCATGTTCAGCATCAAGTCAAGATACCGCTGCCTATACCGTGTTTCCTGAATGAAATATTACAGTATGAAATGAAAAAACAGACACGATAGACATGCACTTACGGTCAAGCTTTGAATAGTATCACATATAGGTTCGGAATCTGTTAGATGGCATAACAGTTTACGAAAATTAACATGAAAGCTAATAAACCCATGAGAAACATGGACCCTTCAAAACAGAATTGGGCAAAAGTTTAAGCTAAATGGACAGTTGAACAGTACCTGATCCTTTAGTATATAAGCCTCAGGGTTTCTACCACTTCCTGGGACCCAAGCATTGGTTACCTGTCCAAAGGTATCATAATGTCAATCGAGAAGTGAAATTTCTATCATTACGTACATCACAGTAAAAAATCACAGCCACCTTAGCATTTTCTGAACCTGGACCAACTTTTGGTCGGGGCATCATGTGGAGACAATGAGAAAGCACTATAAATGTTTTGGGAAAAATACTCAGCTCTCCTCTTTTGCTTTTACCTACAAAATGAGGTATCATGAGTTCGTTATAACATACTTTTGAAAGAAAATAAAATGCAAAAAATTAGGTTACTGGTTCTTCAGAACAGTTCTCCACTTTCTTATTATTAATAAAACATGACAAGGAACCAATAAAATAGGCTAGCTAATTGAAGGTCCAACCAAAACATGAGCAGTCACACATGACATAAACTATTCTAATAAAGTGAAATAATGCATGCGCCTTACAACAATGCAGCAACTAAAATCATAATCCAATAGTAGCAGTGTTATCAAATAGAAATATAGCGATTTTTTGGCTTTCCGCCATCGCCCACCATCCGCCATCGATAACACTGAATTATAGATACTTCTACTAAATTTCACAAGCAAATTGAACACACTTCTCAAAGAGAACAATTTCACCATGTATGGAGTATAAAATTTGTGAAAAATCAAGAAAGTCCCAGACCTGGGAAACCAATGATCCCAACAACATCTCCTCGCTTGACTGAATTGTGAAATAGAGAAAACTCTTCTTCATCCAAATCCGATCTCCTACAAAAAATCCATGAATCATGATGAGGTTCCGCACTAGCAAAATCACATAATCTAAACATTTCAACTCTAAGGCACGTGATATTGAGTTTGGCAATAGATAAATTTATTCAACATTCCTCAGTCCTCACTTTCCATCAACTTATTTGGTAAAATCGGATATGAAAACAAAAAATAGGTCCATGGAAATGGGGTCAAGTGGCTTAGAAATATTATCTTAAGCTATCACCTTGCATCAGCCATAACTTGAACTTTAGCTCCACCACCATGTAAATCATAAAAGAATAACTTCGATGATGACGAGCGTTTGTTCATAAGCCGGCCTTCAAAACGAACAGTCGACATTAGAAACTCGTAGAAACAATTTAATGATATTATAATGCACAAATAACACATAAAATCTCTTATACCAGCAATTCGTTCCTCGACGTCTTCAAGATGATCACCACTGTTTAAACCTTCGTATTTCTTCACATACTCAGGTATAGATGAGTTAGCTTCGAATTTGTGGGGATACGGATTAATCCCAGCTGACTTCTGAGCAGCAAGAGCTTTCAGCCTGTTTTCATGATATTGCTGCAAGCAAACACTCATATTCAGTAAATCAATTACGGACAGCCCACGGAAAGTACTGCTTATTCAAGAACACTGATAACAATAAAAGTTAAAGACAGAGAAAACATGATCAAATAAACTAATAAAACAAAGGCAATAATGCCCTACCGTTGGGTCCAGACCCTCATCTTCTGCAGCAGCGGCCCTCTTGGCCTGAGCCCTTGGTTTGACAGTGGCCTGTAATGTATGCCAATAACATCAAAACTATACATGACTAATACATACACGTCATTAATAGCAAATGCAGATTAAAAAAAGTTGGACAGAACCATAGTTATCTCCCAAATATACACTAGCATTATATATTAAGGGGGGTGTATTTAATTTGGACTTCAGCGACTTTATAAGACTTTTGAAATTTAGGAGTATTCAATTAAAACTTTTTGAGATTTCTATAAAGTCTATATTGAGGATACTCTCCTCAGAAAATGAACAACTGTGGTGTGAACTTCATGAAATTCTCTTACAATCAAAGTATTGTTCCCAAAAAAGAGACCTAAGACGTGCATTCGACCTTATCCTTATTAACTTTAACAAAATTGCGTTCATGTTGCAGATATGAAAAGGGGGATTGCGCGCTCAAATTCGCACCATTTACAAATTAAAAGGTGAGGGGGAAACAACAACGAATCATTTCTATGCATAAAATCAAACCAAGACAACGAAATTGAAGACCCTAAGGATAAAGACTGGTTCTTTATCAGCAAAATGGAAGGGAAATAGAATCAAATAGAAAACTATTGGGGATACAGTAACTGTCCTTGCAGATACAGTCACTCACAACACGACCAAAAAGATAAAAGGAATTAAAAAAAAAAAAAAAAAAAACTTTAAGTTAAACCACAAGCACACAGCAGAATTTCATAGTAAAGGGCAAGTACCATTTCTGGAATCAAATGTTGACAAGAGTATTGACGTCGTTATTTTCTGAAACAGGTTGAGAAGAAGCGTTTTGATGTTACGAAAAGCAGACCAATCGAATGCTTCTTTTTCCAGCTAAGTAGTAAACCGTAAACCCTAGGGACTTTAGCAATACATTTAGGCTATGTTTGGTTCAACGGAGGGAAAGGGAGGGGAGGAATTTTAACGGAGGGGAGGGAAGGGAAGGGGAGGTGGTGTAAAATCATTTTACCTTGTTTGGACGGATTTTGTTGGAGGGGAACGAAGGGAAAATGGCAAACCTTGTTTGGTTAGATAATGAAAGAGGAGGGAAAATAATGTTAGAATGACAATTGTATCCTTAATGATGTTAAAATAAAAATTAAAATATTATATATGACAAGGATAAAATTGTAATTAAGTGTCTTAATATTTTCCCTCCCCTCCAAATTCCCCCAAAATTGGAGGGGGAGCCATTTTCCTCTGCGCATGAATTAGAGGGGAAAATCTCATCCCTTCCCCCCACAAAAGAGTGAACCAAACAGAGGAAAATTAAAAGTTTTCCTCACCTCCCTTCCCCTCCCCTCTGATTCCCTTGAACCAAACACTACGTTACGGGAGAATTTTATGTTTACTACAAGAATTTTAAATTATTGCGGATGTAGGAGGGGAGAGATTATATTTGCAAGCCTACTTTTTCAAGTGTATTTATTTGAGCTGAAAGTGAGAGAATAAGTTTCTACAATGACGTTTAAAAAATAAGTGTACATCACCTAATAATTAGGACAAGTAAATACAATCCGTTACCATATTTATTTGTGTTCATACACAATTAGTTACCATATTATATTAACTAATAATATGTTCCTACAATCCGTTAACATATTAATTTGAAATTCAAATGCTCCATTTATTTTTTCCGTATATATTGCGTTTATACATAATATATACAAAACATATACAGAAAATATACAGAAAACATTTGAAATGAGCTCGATCATAAACCCAAGAAAATATACAGAATCCTGGTTGATCTTGTACTGCTTGATCATCAAGGCAAAAACGTACCACCAGCAGCCGTCACCAGTCCGCCGCCGCCGGCCACCGTCGCCGCCTGCCAGTTCGCCGGAAAAGGCAATATTTTTTTTTTCTTTCGAGGCTCGTTGATCTCTTGTGATCTCCCGGTCATCAACACACGATCTCAACACGAAAAATATAATTTACAAAATTACATAACTCGATCCTAGATCCAACGAATGGATGTACATGCTTCCTAAACAAATAATTAAATCTATCCGGTCAACCCCCAGGCGAATAATTATTACAAACATTCATTCATAAATTCCTCGACATGTCCGAGGCTTTAAAAACAAATTTAAAACCATACATCACATTCAACAACATTCATCAAACACATAATCGGCCATAATAGTGGATTAACTATTTTCCTGCAAAACCGAGTTATGCAAATATAATCCAATATATGGCTGCGTTTGAACACATCTTGTCAAATAAAGCCGTAAAAATTCAAACTTTGTACAAAACAAATTAACCAATTGCTCTAATACCACTTGTTGGGATCTGCGAGGATCTCGTTATGTACAAGTCACGAATTCAATAGCAAACGTAAACCTATGCGCAGCGGATCTAAAGGTTTGACGTAGAGAACTTACGGCTTAAAATTTATGTAGATCTGGTTGACCACGAACGGTTGACCGCAATTGATTGACCGCAACTCACGTCTTGGGTTACCCGAACAAGATCAGATCAAAATCAAGTCAAATGGATGCAAACAGATCAAAATGAAACTTGCAGCCTGGGAGCTTCCGGCGGCGCGTGAGGACGCATGAGGCGTCAGACGGCTGCGATCTCGGCGGAGATGGAAAGCTCTCGTAGAGACGGTCGTCTGGGTATGTTGTACGTCTCAATCGGACTTCTGGTTAGTTCTGTAGGTCAAAATATATTTTGTCTCGCTTTACCTACAGATCTTCTACTGTATTACTCAATACACCCTTCTTCAACTTGTACCAGTGGAGCAACAAGAAGAAGATAAAACTCGAATGAGATCTAGAGAGAGAGAGAGGCGTGGGGCGTGTCTCGTTAGAATGAGATTTTTTGATTCTCTTCTCATGAGCTTAATGATGTATATATAGAGCTACAATAGGGACCCTTAGAAGATTAGGAAAAGGGCTCCTTAATTAATTAGACTAAATGTGGCCAAGCCCACTCCTCTAATTTATTAAATAATATTAATGGGCCACCAACATTATATTATTGCACTCCCTTTTCCTAGCCCAAATTACATTTGAGACTCTAATAATGATTACTCGATTTACCTCCCCACGTTTAAGATATAATGTCCATTAATTAATTCGATTACTGACAAGCAAGAATTAATTAATTTATTATTATTTCACCGAAGCTAGCGCTCGTTCATCACATTCTTATGATGCCGGAACTTAATCCACCTGCAGGGTTTAGCATAACAATCCTTCATGAACTCACTCTGGGGACATCATCAAACTAACGCACATGGTGACCGTAAATATCCTAACAGCACATCTTATATATAATAATATTACCTAAAACAGTAGGAATATTAATCCAGCGAACTGAACCCCACCCATGTGAATCAAAGTAATATATATTATATATATTTGTCTGTTTAATATCTTACCGGTTAAGAGAACGCAGTAATTAACCGAGGCCTAGTTCATTTACGATGATCAGTATAAAATGAACTTCTCCTCTCTGGGATCCTGTTCAATACATAAATGTACTAGTGCAACTAATCAGTCAAGACAAACTATTCAGTTGACACAACAACCGTTCGGATGGGGTGTTCATGTCCATCTAGGTTGTGAACAACTATTCTTGTTCGCAAGTGACTCATAGAGTGATCTTCGGTTCGCTCAACGACGACCCACCCTATCTAAGTGCCGAACAACAGAACGTAGAACTTGTTTAATCTAACATGATTCTCATTCATAAAGGGTAAATGTGTAATAACATGCAAAACCAAGCTTTCAGTATATAACACTAACAGGCGAGTCGTCGCCTTTCTTAGGCTAACGCTCATTGTCGAGTTTCTCTGCCTCACCTAACCGACATGGGGCGCGTCAGGCAAGCTGCCTTCTCTCCCACGCGCCCACATGTAATCAAATCCTGATATTTCTGAAACCAAATCGCGCAACCTAGCCCTTAGGCTATGCCCAAGCCTTGCCCACGTACCTTTGTTAGCCTACCATGCCCCCGTGCGTGTAGGCCACACACTACCTAAGCGCATTCATCGCCGAACGGGGCCCTCGTCCTTACCCCAACCCATAAACAGACTAGGTCAAATGGGTTGACCCATGCCCCCCCCCCACCCCCACACATGCCTCTCACATGACCGACTCAGTTCCTCTTGAGAACACTACCTCCCTAAGAAGGAGAAAAAGATTTGTTGGATCTAACTACTGAACATTGAAAAGTTGAGTATCACACTAAGTCCTGTTGACCCATCGATGCACTACTTAACCTCCGTTCAGCCTCGGAATGCCTAACATAGGCCCTGCAACTCGAGTCCTCCTTAAACTCGCTCGAAACCTCTTAGTATTTTCAGCACTTCTTCCCTTGACGTCGTGCACTTAATTTGCCGAGCCTCTCGAGCTAAGGGGCCACAAATGTAATGAGCCAAAACCACCCTCAATGTTAGGCTTGTAACACTATCCCATGAATGGCGTATTCACTATCACTAGTAATATACTAAGAGCATCTCCAATGCAACTTTTGACATTATAAAAAATTATCCATATCACCAACTTTTGAAAGTATGTCTCTATTTTTTTCTCCAATGCATCTTGTCATGAACTCTTTCATGATGAGGTGGATGTCATTTAATGTTGACAATGTTGAGCACACTTTCTAATATCTAACACCATGTTAAACATGATGACTCATCAATTTACTTTATATTTGTTTTTATTTTTTTAATTTTTTTTGTATCAATGAATTATTTAATTGGTCCACCTATACAAATAACTTCTTATCAAATTGATGCATTGGAGATGCTAGTTCCATTGAAATTTCTAGTCTTCTAACATTATTCCAATGTGGATTAACATTACAATTACTAATTGACATGTGTTAAAAATAATGGTCTTTGAAACTTATAGCATTAGAGATGCTCTAATATTGGTGGAGATATTGAGCAGTTGACGTCAGCAAAAATCGAAAAAGCCACAAGGAGCGAAAAGAGAGAAGCGAAGGAAAATACTGAAAATCGAGGCCTCTCATTGGCCACCGCCTCGCTCTGCGTTTTCTCCTCTTTTCCCTAATTCGCATTTACAAAGGCAAGTCTTCTGAAACCCTTGCTCTTTGTTGACAATTATACTTTATTAGCTTTGTCAATGACGTGGTTACTTGTTAATTCAATTGGATTAGTTGCGTTATAGATCTCAGTCATAGGTAAAATTTCATTTCATGTTATCATTAATTTCGAGGAGCTTATTTAAATCGATCCAAGACATCGAATATCGTCCCTAATCTAGCTCGTTTATCTCAATCGGTATTAAGAAATCGTCTGTGTTGGTTACATTTTGCTTGCAGATTTGAATACAGGGTTACTATTTGTAAGCGGAATTCGAGTCTTGATGTATTTGGGCGAAGTATTATTCAGATAGCAGATAATTAGGTGTCGATTGTTGAGTTCAAGGTGAATAGAATTTCCGAAATCGGAAAAGATTAAGAGAAAGGGAAAAAAATTAGGCAAACAGGTGAATTTGGTGAGGAACAATGGCGGCTTCTAAAACGGAGGGGTCATCAGCACCTGTTTTGAGACGAGACCCTTATGAGGTGCTTTCTGTTACTAGAGATTCTTCTGATCAAGAAATTAAGACTGCTTACAGAAAGCTTGCTCTTAAGTATGTTTTTTTTCCTTTTGTTATTCCCTTTATTAATCTTACAGGATTTTTTGGTCTTGCAATTACTTTGTGTTGATGTATATCATGTTTCATTTTGAGTCATTTATGTGCAACTTTTGCATTTCTCATTGTATGAAGTTTGGTGGAGTATGAGGTATTTGTATCTCTGTAAGAGGTCGCATTATCTGATTATTGATATGGTTCTAATAGTGAATTCAAAAACATGGGACTGAAGATGATTTCATTTCTAAGAGTTTGATTGTAGATATCTGATATGTTTGTGGTTCAATAACTTCCTTTGATCGTTTTTTTTTTTTTTTGGNAATCAAGTAAATGAATATGAAATTATGCTGTTGTCTTGGCTATGAGAGTTACTTTTTCCAATGTAATGTTAAGTTGTTATCTGATAAGAAGAAAGTCATGTTTCCTGCTCGAAAGGACTGGTGATGTTTTCAATGAGAGTGTGTGACGGAATATTAGAATTTTCTTAACGGAAAACATATGGTAATGTGAGAAAAAGACAGGTATTAAAAGTTAAAGATATTGTTCCGAAACATGTATTGTTCATGATGCATTTTTGTTTCTGGCATCTTTCCCAAATGCTATCTTTACAATGTGCACTCATACTCTGGAAATTGGAAACTGGTTGTGTGATAAATTTCCTTGGAATGTGGTAATTTTTTTTGGCTTGTCAGGTACCATCCGGACAAGAATGCTAACAATCCTGAAGCTTCAGAGCTTTTTAAGGAGGTTGCATATTCGTATAGCATTTTGTCGGATCCAGAAAAGAGGAGGCAATATGATAATTCAGGATTTGAGGTACTCCTTCTTTTGCTAGACTTTTTTGTGGACTTTTTTTAACCTCCCGATCGAGGATGACTATCAATATGGGCACGTAAAGTTACCTAAAACGTTTGTTATGTTGCTGCATTGTAATTAACATCCACTTTTTAGTCTGTGTTAATTGTTTTGACATCTATGGTTAATGGTAATAAGGCCCTTGACGCTGAAGGATTGGATATGGAGATTGATTTGTCAAATCTTGGAACAGTCAACACAATGTTTGCAGCTTTATTCAGGTTTCCATTGAGATTTGGGAATTGGATTTTTGAATGTTTGCGTTTAATGTGTAAATTCATTATTTGTGCTTCCATTTCGACAGCAAATTGGGTGTTCCTATCAAGACTACTATTTCTGCAAATGTTCTTGAAGAGGCTTTAAATGGTACTGTCACGGTTAGACCTCTTCCTATAGGAACTTCAGTCAGTGGAAAGGTACATATGGTCCTTGCAAACTAAAAAATCATATGCATTTTTCTTGTTCTAAATTTATTAGTTTTGGTTTTAACCTTGTTTTTCTAATATCTCAAACAGGTTGAGAAACAGTGTGCCCACTTCTTTGGTGTCACCATCAGTGAAGAACAAGCAGAGTCAGGCATAGTAGTTAGAGTTACTTCAGCTGCACAAAGCAAATTTAAGGTATGTATTTATGTTACCTTTGTGTCATGGAGAAAGTATTTTTGGCTTATGATGAAAAGAATGCATAATGTCCTTTTTGCCTTTTCTTGTTGATATGCATACATGAGTTATAACTTCTAAGCTGAAGGTTCAATTCTGATTTATTCTCAGCTCTTGTATTTTGAACAAGATGCTAATGGGGGATATGGATTGGCGTTGCAGGTAATTTCATTTTTGTTCCACTGTTTGTTAAAATCTTATGACTTACTTGCCCTTTTTTCTCTGCAGCCTGAAGAGCATATTTTATGATAACTCTACATACTTGTGATTGTTGTCTGAGAACAACTACACGTGTTAGCGCCTTTTGACATATCCGATTTCTATAGTTTTGAAACAGATAGATTATGTAGCAACTCCTGACATGATTTTTGTCCAATTCTCTTCTATTTCATGCCAATCCACAACTTCTGCTGACGATGGATACTTCAAATTTATTGTATAGTTCCATCTTTATCAGTCAAAATATACAGATTCATAAATTTTAGGATCAAGTTGCACATAAGTTTCTCGAGGTTGGCCACGTAGATCCTTAAAGTACAATTCCATATCCTTTTGACTTCCTAATGTGTGTGTCATTCAACTATATAATCGTTATCCTTTTGATTTAATTGTTTGAATGGGTTCTGAGTTTTACTGTGGAGCTACATATCTCATTTGCAAAATCTTTCATGAGATCTTCACAGGAAGATAGTGAGAAAACAAACAAGGTTACATCAGCTGGGATGTACTTTTTGCATTTCCAAGTGTACAGAATGGATTCAACTGTTAATGCGGTGAGTAGTCTCTCTTTTTTCTTTCAACTGGAAAACAATTATGTTCCTCGATAAATATATTTCTTTCTGTGGTACACAGTTAGCAATGGCCAAAGACCCAGAAGCTGCTTTCTTCAAGAGACTCGAAGGACTTCAACCTTGTGAGGTCTCGGAACTAAAATCCGGCACTCACATATTCGCCGTTTATGGTGGGAAACTGTTTGTTTGATGCGTACTGTTCCAATTTCATGACATGTAAATTGAAGTACAACGATTGAAGCAAAATTTGAGTACTATTCTTGATTACTTCAGGAGATAATTTCTTCAAAACTGCCTCGTATACGATTGAGGCTCTTTGTGCGAAGACTTATGAGGATACAACTAATAAGCTTAAAGATATTGAAGCTCAGATCTTGAGGAAGAGAAATGAGCTTCGCCAATTTGAGACTGAATATAGGAAGGTAAATTATGCATCCAAATTAGCCCATTTTTGTTATCTATTTTGTAAGTTCGATTTTTGCCTATAGATTCCTTACTGTACAATTCTTTTTCCCTCCTCTGATTTCAGGCATTGGCACGATTCCAAGAAGTCACCAACCGATACAGCCAGGAAAAGCAGTCCGTAAGTTTGCATCCCAAGAATCTTTGATTATTTTCTTGCCATTATTTGCAAGAAATTAATCTTCAAAAATTTTGTAAAAGAAAAGAAGAAGAATATCTCTTTACGCGGTAATAACTTTAGATGATGAAATCTGGATTCCCTTTGACATGCCAATTTCTGTAAATATATTAACTTCTGCAATATAAAAAGAAACTTGCATTTTCTTATGTGTAATTGTTTATTCATTTAATGTTAGAATGGTATTTGATTATTTTCTTGCCATTATTTGCGTTGGACTGGTTGAATTATTATTCCCACCTCAATTCTTAGTGGCTTTCGACTCTCATCATTTGTGCTCTATATACTTGGACAGGTTGATGAACTGCTAAAACAGCGAGATAGTATCCACTCCTCTTTTACAGTTTCCAGAACCGTAGCTTTTCCCAGTGGGAGTGGACAGTTTAGCAATGGGAGTGGCAGTAGCAAATTAACAGGTGAAGAGAGTCCAGGGGACGAGGGTAGTGCCGATTCCAAGGATAAATCTTCGAAGAAAAAATGGTTTAATCTTAACCTCAAAAGTTCCGAGAAAAAGTAAACATCTTTTAAAGTTGGTATTCTCGTAATATTGCCAGATTTATGGTTTGTGATATTATAGTTATGAATTCTGGGAGATGTAGAGGTTTGTTTGTGTACATTGGATTNTTGAATATTGGTGGCGAGCTGGGATTTGAATTTTATAGGGGCAGTAATGGGTGGGATGGACTTGGGGCACGATAGGAATTTATTTTGATTTTGTTGTAACAGTAATTTTTGTTTGTTACTCTTAATATTTTCAGTTGTATTGGCACAAGGGTGCCAAGATATTGTTTGTTGTGGCATCATCAAAATGAAATTTCATACTGAAATGCAATTTAATGATTAATGCTGTGTGCTTTATTTATTTATTTATTTTTTTTTCCAACGACAGCAATGATTTATAAAAACTCAAGAAAGTCTTACAATCCAGCTAGCAAATGCTAGCAATACAATACAGGGAAGTCCAACAGCTCCCTTCAATACAACACTACCAAACAACAGAATCCAAACACTTGAGCTCTTAAATTGCTGTGTGCTTTAATTCAAATAGTTTCTTCTCGTTATAAGCAGAATTAAGCACATTTTCGTAAGATCTTGAACAGTTACACTTAATTCTGATTCTCTCTTGATTTTTTCTTTTCTTTTTTATTTTCAATTTCCCGAAAGAAAAATAGGAAATAACTCAGTAGTTGTTCTTTACGCATATTTACCTTATATTTAATGTTTACTAGTATTCGACCTGTGCATTTGCACAGATATAAATAAAATATTGTGAGTTATTTGTGTGCATATAATGATTAATGATTTTTTTTGCACTTTTTTGCAGACCAAATTTACAATTAAAAAAGTTGGACTATTTATTTTTTTAAATTGTGTTTATCATATTGGATGTAATGTATATTTTGGTATGTATTTTTTTATGTGAATTATTTATTATTTATTTAGGAATTTCAAATACGTTTTTTATTTTCCAAAAGAAGTTAATTTAAATGTAACCACAACAATAACATCTAATTGCATTAAATAGTCAATACATTATATGGTCAGCTGTAAATAAATCAAAACTTTAAAATAATTTTTATAATTTTGAAGTGATTAGTGTGTTGATTATATAATAATTAAATGAGAGATTAAATAAATAAAAAGTAACGGTTTTTGGAGGTAAAAAGTTATATTGCCACATAGGTATAATTTAATAGGTTTTATNGTATCTTTCCAGTTAACGAGTTTCTTGCACTGGAATATTATTTTATTCACCGCTGTTTTCCCTTTCGCTACTTAGTACTAGTGCATGTCTATTTAATGTGTAAAATGAGTACACTATTACAATTTTATCTTCCGAAAAGCTTATATATTGCATTTTGGACAAAAGAACTAATCCAAACAACTAATTAGTAAACAATGATAATGAAATGTTTGATACTCTCATACCTGTAATTTGCGACGCTTTTATCCTATTACCAAGGCCTTTATGAGTAGCAAGATTCTCTATTTTAAAATGATGTTTTATCTGTCTTCTTATGCAAGATGCTAACTGCAAAAATAACTAAAAAAGCCAAGACTTCCAAGAAATCAATTCATAATGCATGTCTCTTTAAGATTCCTGCGACTTTTTGAGAAGTCTAAAGCCAATCTCAGATGATTATTTAATTAAGTCCACTCTTATGAAGCATTAGTTTATCGTCTTTCTTCAACAAAAACTTGGCACCATATGTAAGGTGTATAAGAAAAGGTTTCAATTTTTTTTACCTATGTCCTAGTCTCACATGCATATGCATCTTCTCTTCTATATGTTGTAATTTTAATTTAATTTTAATTTATTTTAGAGCTCAAAAGTACCAATGCAATATTTAATTGGATTCCTAATTTTGTTTGGCCGAATAGGGAGTTTTGAATAAGTCGATTTAATTGCCCCGTCTTCATAAATATTACGGATAGTTCTTACCAAATAACATAACATAATAATGGAAATAGAACAAAGGAAATAATGAATAGCCACGTGGCGGATAACGCAGATTTTTTTCCAAATAAGATTACCATAAACTGCCCACGTGGCAAAATTACATTTACGATGATATTTCTTCCACAATCCTTATCAAACTGCTGGATTAGCTTAATTTAAGGAACATTAAGTTTTAATTAATCCCATGACATGTGCATGTCGCCACCCAACTAAAGCCTTTGCATTAACATATATGTAATGTGGTGTTTATGTTGCCGTCTAAAAATGTCCACTTTATCGGCAAACACAGCGCACATTTGATTTGTCTTTATTGATTGACCAAAGTTCCCCCAATTTCAGTCTCTTGATTCACGGGACTTTCCATTGAGCTTATTTTAATTAATAATCTGAAAAGAAGGCCCAGTTGCAGTCTTATTGATGGACTTCACTATCAAGATATTATAATTAAACAAACATTAGACATTCTAGACTGTAATCTAAGCTTAGCTTCAGATAATTAGATCGGATTATATATTTAATTACTTAAATGCTTAATTATTGACATTTGTATATTAACAACACAAATAGAGAGAAGCAGTTTTGCTATGTACAACATGTAAACCATACTATATTTTATCATAACTTAAATAAATACTAATAATTTTATTAATATGGTATGATTTACTTGTTGTATATAGAATGTTGACTTCACTATGGAGCTAAATGTTGGCTTCATAGCAAAACTGTAGAGAGAAGTCATTCCACATGGGGTTCAAATAAGTGAATAACTTCTATCAACCCTCTAAATATAATTTGAATTGTATGTAATGTTATTTTTATTATACTTTTATATTTTTTTAGTGCGAGTTTATTTTAGAAAACAACACCAGAATTATCAACTCTCACAGCTACTGCATCCGCAAGAATCTTCTGTAACTTAGCTCGAGTGAGACTTATCACCTGGTCACCAGCTCGGTCTCGCTGGTTTTGGGGAAAATCTTCTTCTCTCCTTCACGTCCCTGAACTCTGGTGTTCTTGCTCTCCGTAGGTAGAAGTAACTAGTGGGACTCGACTGTGTGTACAACAACTAGTTCTTCATTTCTGGTGGGGTTATATGAATCAGGTCCTACGGGCGTGCACCTGGCGGTGGTGCGTGGCTGTATAACGATGTCATTTCTACCATGGAAATGACTGGTTTTGGGCTAGGTAAAAAGGGGTCACTTGTCTGTCCAGGCTTCCCTGGAGTCCCCCAACAGGTTTCTTTGCAACATTTCTTTATCAACCATCTCAATTGATAGGAAATAGGTGAGAGACCTACCGGTTCCTTCAAGAGGTCCCTACAGACGATGCCAAATGATATATCGATACTCGGATCTGGTTTGAACTGACTACTGTAAACTCCAACCACCTGATAGTAGCTGATTAGCTGAAAAAAAAAAGGGCCAGGACGAGCTCCCGGCGTGAGCACTCCGTCGCTCAAATAAGTGATCAAACAGGAGAAAAAAATGATCAAAGTATCTAGAGAATTCAGAAAGTGTAAAAAGAATGTTTCAGTTGTACCTCACCCCCTTTCATAGAGTGAATAACTTGGTTCCAAAGATTAGCTTCTCAGACTACCCAGCTGCCGTTGCTCAATCTGTCCGGAGCTACCTGGCTACCCGAGGTTAGTCCTTATCAGCTTTGTATTCATCTTATCCTTAAAGCTGTCAATTTGGCCCGCAACCCGTGGGTGGGCCCACCGTGGCGGGTTGGGCCGGGAATTTTTACGCCCGCTGGAGAGCGGGCCTAAACGGGCTAGCCCACGCGGGTGGCGGGCCAGAGCAGGGCGGCGTCGGCCCGCCTAATTGAATTGCTCATCAGATTTTAGAAGTACCTAACCCTAGCCTCGCCCTTTCAACCTCCACACACTGCAAGACCGGCGGCTCAGCCTCTCTCGTCCGGTTCTCCGACCTCCGCCTACGCCTCCGCCTCTGGCCTCGATCATCGCCTCTCCAACATCGGCCTTCAAGACCGCTTCCAGCCTCCGCCTCCAATCTTTGCGTCCGGCCTCCGCCTCCAATCTTTGCGTCCGGCCTCCGCCTCCAGACTCCTCCGCCTCCAGCCTTCTCCGCTGCTTCCCCATTTTTTTCTTTTAAGTTTGGATGCAACAGGTGTTGTTTTTTTTTATATAGATAAAGAACTGGGCTGCCGCCCAACCCAAACATTAGCTTATTGGGTTGGCTGCAGGCAGCAGCTTAGTTATTAAAAAAAAATAAAAAAAATGCAGGCATGGCCCGCCTAGCCCGCGGCCCATGGCGGGGGCAGGTTGGGCCGACTTTTTAGGTCTTGATTAGATTCATCTTTATCTTGATTAGGTCCATGTTCACTCAGCTCTCTATATCCATGGTCATTCTTTCTTTAGTCGTTTTACTATGTATTTGTAGGTCTCTTTCCTTAGGTCGTCATGTTGTGTATTTGTAGGTCTCTTTCCTTAGGTCATCCTGCTCGATGTTAGTAGGTCCCATGTATTTAAGTCGGGATTTGTCCCAACTATCTTTCCCTTGTCCAAGTCCTATGGGTCGTTCGACCTGATGCCGAGGCTTATCACCTGTTTAGTTGTTACCTTTCTCCTTTAGCTCATTCTAGATCTATCGTAGTCATTTAGGTCTTCATTATGGTTCAAACGACATGTCAAAGCTTCTCTTGCTTACATATATTTGGTCTCCATAAGTCGACTTGGCTTAACTTTAAATCGACCGACCTGTTTTACTTGATATTAATTCGGTTTAGCCAAACTATGACTATATCATCTATGATTGATAAAAATAAAATAGGGTTTAAACGAATGAAAAATCCTTTGTGGAATAATCATGAAAAACATAGCTTGGATTAATTAATTATGCTTTCGAACATATCCAAGAAAAGGGATAACATCTTGGAAACCAAGTCACATCGAGGGCCTTTGTATCTATATCCTTTTTGGATCCTTCCAAAGGTCATGGCTGTAAAATGGGAACAAAGATGATTGGAAAGTTAATGGAGGATTGTATTCATGTCTAAATAGTAATCTTGGTTTAATTAAGCTTTCATTAACTTAATTATGTCTTGATAAACACATAATGGTGGGCCACCATGGAGATTCGGGCAATCTCAAATAATAATTTTCAAGCAATCACTTCAATCAAAACCTAAGAAAGCATGATTAAGGTCCTTACAAAAGTAATTTTATATTGGGTGGTGGAAACCATTAACAAGAAGAAAAGTCCATTATTACTTTATTAATTAAGTACATTAACTGATTAATCAACAAG